GGGGGCGGGATGTGTGTGGCTATGGCCTATTTCAACGAGTCCCAGAGGGCGGGGGTGGGCCCCAAGCCTCACCCCTACTTCCCCTTCCTTGGCTCCCCCTCATGCCCTCTCTCCAGCTTCAAGGTCAGTAGGCCGAGGCCCATCCACCCACTCCGGGACCTTGCTCCTTCTATTCCTGGTCCCCCCCTGTGGCCCCTCTCCCCATCTACACACAGAAAACACTCTGGTTTCCCTGGCCCCCTGGGGTCCGTCCTCCCATAATCTGTACCCGACGTCCCCACGCCCTCAAGTTCGTGCAGTCCAGGCTCCTCCCTCCCTTCCTTCCTGAACCTGATTCCTAAGCCAGGCGGCCGGTGCCCTTAGACTGGTTACTGCAGGAATCAGAGCAGGGGGTGGGGAGCAGGGGTGCGAATTCAGTCCATCTCTGTGCTGGGCGATGCCAGAGGGATAAAGGCTAAGGTGGGCCAGAGGCACCTCCTCCCTCATGCGAGGGTCCCACAGGGAGGCAGGAGAGAGACGCCATGGCTGTCGGGGGAAGACCAGGCAAGGTGTGTGCGCAGGCTCCCTCTGAAGCTCCCAGGCATCGCTGCCAGCGCACACGCCACCTTTGCCCGCTCAGGCCCAGCGGGTGGAAGGATACCAGAAACGAGGGGTGCCTTCTTCCTCTTGCTGGGCGGCAGGGAGTCCCAGGTCCTCGAGCTGCCTCTGGTGTGCAGTTTGTCATCCCACCACTCTGTGACCCAGACCCAGAGTCAGAATCGTGGTGCTGGCCCTCCCGGGACACCCCCACCCTCATAGCCTGCCCTTCCCCATCAACCACCTCCCAGGACAGGGGAGAGAACCCTGGGCTTGGGGGTCAGAAGCTGAGTGCAGGTCCCAACTGCAGAGAAGTACAACCCGGGAAAGAAGTCACTGCACATCTATGGGGCTGTTTCTTCATCTGTTTAGTGGACAGTGGGATGAGGACGACCCCTGCCTCCCCAGAGCCCCGTAGGATGCAGGCACTATGGACATGGCGGGGTCTGTGGCTACTTATGTGTGGGAGTGTCAGAATGTCACTCTGGAAAGAGAGCAAGGGCAAAGGAGGGCAGGGGAACCCACTCTTCCTGAACCCCCACTGTGTGCCAGGCACGGGGCCAGGCCCTTTCATGCCTGGCTTCATTAAGGCTCCACAAACACCCCTCTTCCTATCCCCTTGCGCAGGCAGGGAAGCTCAGGTCCCGGCAGGAGGGGGCGCTGACAGAGCCAGGCAGGGGGCAGGGTGCTCAGGGCCGGCCCCTTGCCTCACCCGAGCTGATGTCCAGGCTCTGGCGGTCCTCCTCCAGCCTCTGGATCCGCTCCTGCAGCTCCCCCTGCAGCGTGTCATAGAGCAGCAGCTTCTCGCTCTGGAAGGGGGGGGGGGCAGCTCAGTCAGGAGGGACAGGTGGGCCACTTCCACCCTCCTCCCTTGGCGCCCATCAGTCACCTCCAGGTGCTGCTTAGCTCCCTGCAGCTCACACTCATACTTATTCCTGATCACGTCCAGACAGAAGCCCTTGTAGATCCCTGCAGAGGGAGGGAGGGTCTGAGAGGCCCAGCTTGGCCGGGGAATCCAGTGCCCCAAAAGGGGTGCTGGGAACATGGGCAGGACAGGGATGAGAGAGGAAGGGACCATGGGTGGGTAGGGGCACAGGGAGGGAGACTGGGGGCCACTCCAGGGCACAGGATAGCCCACAGACCTGCCACCTGAATGCGAATCTTGAGGCTCCGCTGCAGCCCTCCCAGGGGCTCCGTGTATTCGGGCGCTCTCTCAGCCCCCACTTCCTCCAGCCGCACCTGCAGCTGACTCAGCCGTTCCCTGAACAACCTGGGAGGTAAATGTGCTCATCTGTCAGACACACACAGAGCACCTGGCCCCCGACAGGGACCCACCTCGGCCTCAGCACCAGGCCCGCCTCACCCCAAGCGCCTGGAGACCCAGCCCCGGGGGCCCCGCTCACTTCTCCTTTAGCTCCGAGAACTGCTTCTCCAGGTCCAGCATCTCACTGACGCACTCGCTGCGGCGCCGCTCGTAGTCCTCGTCGTCCATCTCTGGGACAAGAGGGCAGTCAAGGTCGGTTGAGGAGTGGGCAGGCATGTGTGCATGTGCGTGTGCGTGCATGTGTGTGCATGCGTGTGTGTGCGTGTCACCTGAGCTCTCCTCCTCGGACTCGGTCTGGCTGCCACTTCGTTCCTCCTCACTCTCTTCCTCCTCTCCATTCATCTCGGCAGCTGAATCACCCTCTGCTTCCATCTCTTCTGTGTCTTTGCTTGAAGGCTGGAGCGGCATCTGGGCTCTGGGAGGAGGGGCAGAGCCATCACTCACCACCACCCACAGCTCCAAGCAGGTACGTGGCCACTCAGGGAGTCAAGCAAAGCCTGGCCGCAGCTGGGGACAGCTGGGAAGCGGCTGGACGCGCCACCACCTGAGCACACACTGGGTGGAGAAGCTGCACGTGGCCCGGTCTGGACATCTCCACCGATGGGAAAGGCCAAGGGCGGGCTCCCCACTGCCTCTGGGACTCGGCCTTTCAAGGCCCTGCACCGACTAGACTTGAACTACCGGTCCAGCTCCTTCACCCCACCATCTAACGGCCAGTTCTCAAATGCACCAGGCACTTCTTTCCTCCCCACCCGCCTCGTGCTGTTCCTTCTCGTCTCTTCCTGGGGACATGCTGCAACCTGTCTCCTCACTGTGCCCTGGGTCCAGTCCCACCTCCTGCTTCCTCTGGGACGTCGTGTCTGCAGCACTCCCTCCTGACAGTTCCTGCCATGGAGCTCTGGACATGCTCAGGTAGTCCCGACCGTTTAGGAAAAGCAGGAACGCACAACCTCACCCGATCCCATTAGCTGCTCCACATACTCCCCTCACAGCCACACCTTTCAAGTCCTGCGCACACTTGCTCTTCCTGCTTTCACCTGCCACTTGTCCCGATTGGTTTCTGTATCAGCACTGTCAGCTGAAACTAACGCCGATATTTTTAATGCTTATCATAGTTGCCTTCTCAGCAACACCGAATACTGTTATGCGTTTCTTCTTATATTCACTCATCTAATACCTATTGAAACTCTAGTATATGCTAGGTACCCTGGGACACTCTGGTAGGTACTGGGGACAACTGTGATAAACAGACAGTCTCTGACCTCGAGCTGTTTACAAGTTCCTGGGAGGAAAGGGCAAGGAAGCAGACCATTCCTGTGATGTGAGAAGAGCTGCGGGCAGGGGCCCATGGGAGAGGCATCTAACTGGGGCCTGGAGTCGCTGCAGCATGAGGGCTTGCAGACGAAGACGGGCCAGACCAATGAGCTGATCTGGAAGAGGGAGGGAACATTCCACGTAGAGCAGCATGTGCAAAGGCCTCAAAATGAGAGAAGGTCAGGGTGGGGGCACCTGGGTCTAAGCCTCAGAAAGGAATCTGGGCAATGTTATCTAGTGAGTTCTTCAGACCCCGTGAGGGTGCAAGCAGCAAGGCGGGATGTGTGGAGTGAGAAGACATTCTTGATGGAACGCAGGGTCACCAAAGGGGAAGAGGGTGAGAACCCTGCAAAGGAAAAGGACATTACCAAGAGGTGGAAGAGGAAAAACAAAGTCTTGAAGAGAACTTGAGAAGGAAGGAGAGGTGACAGTGCCAAATGCTGCCAAGAGATCACCTAATACAGCGGTTCTCAACCTGTGGGTTGCGACCCCTTTGGCAGTCGAATGACCCTTTCACAGGGGTCGCCTAAGACCATCCTGCATATCAGATATTTACATTACGACTCATAACAGTAGCAACACTACAGTTATGAAGTAGCAACGAAAATAATTTTATGGTTGGGTCACAACACGAGGAACTGTATTTAAAGGGCCAGAAGGTTGAGAACCACTGACCTAATAGGAAGACTAACTAGGCCTCTCAACAGATACAATCTCTGCCAACTAGGGGTTCTGTTTCACTGTGAACTTCTTCCACCTTCTCTGGACACTGGTTTGCAGCCGCTCCTCCAGGAAGCCTCGTTGCTGACACTTCCTCTCTATTTGCCCATCTCATGTGTCTCCACAACCAGACGCCAAGCCTCCGCAGGGCATGGCTGCACATGCCCCTCATTCACCTGAGGATGGAGGGTTTGCAAATACAAACTCCACTTTCGTGAGGCAGAGTTGGCTTTCACTCTTGGTAGCCCCAGCAAACCCCCAGTGTTTTGCTAACCTTCCTTGACAGCATCCCAAGTTTTGTAAAAGAACTGGACTCGAGGAGAGGTTAGTCACATTCCTCAATGACTTCACAAGTAATCTGAACCTGATCTGAAAATCTCGGTTCTCCAAACCAGTCTCATCATTTCCATTCTCAAGCCTCGGTTCCAACAGTTCCCAAACGCTGCAATTCCCCTTCACTGTTAAACATATTTGCTTGGTAGAACGCAACGTAATCCGGACCGGAAAGAGCGGGAGCAGGGGGTGCGGTGGGGAGTGTCGTTTAGGCCAGGTGCCTCTGATTTTAATTGATGAGCTCAACTGGACCACAACCTCCTTCCTTACCCCAGGTGCAAAGAGAGAGTAGCCACTGCTACTCGAGCTTGTAAAGATCGCTGGGGTAAGGGATAGCAGGCGTTGTGCACATGCAAATGATCTTTTCAGAAAGTGAGCGTCTCCAAGGCGGGCTCCATGGTCCCCCCTGGAAGGGGACGACTCAGCCCCTCGCGGCTCGCCCGGAGCCTCCCACCCCGCTCCATCCGCCCCAGTACGCGCGGCACGGGCAGGGGATCCCTAGCTCTCCAGCGGCCCCGCACGCGTCCGGCCCGTTAGGTCCCCCCTTTGGCCCTGGCGATGGGGCGCCCGAGACTCTCCGACAGGTGCCCGGTGCCCGCTGCTGCGGGTGCTGGCCGCCGCCACCCGGCTCCCGGAACCGCAGCGCTGGTCTCTCTTTACTGGGAGGCGGGGCCTGTCCGCGCTTCCGTATTCGTCATCAAGAGGTGCCCATTGGGAAGCTCCCAATTGGACAGCTGGGGCGAGGCATGCTGGGATACCGCGCGCTGGTTTCCATAGCAACCAGCCGACATTCACACTGGCCGTCCGCCTGTGGAAGAAACCCTGGCGGCTTCCTTGCTTCACAGGTGGGGCCCCTGGGTCCACGGTCACCTTCCTCCCACCCGCCGCGGCGTGAAAGAGGAGAACCCGCGCCCCCTCCGCCTGCCCGGTTCAGGAGAGAAATGGAGCCAACTGTAGTTGTGAACACGCATTTATTTACATTGTCATTGGTAGGCAAACAAACGAGCTCAGTCTAGTCTAGGGTACAGGACTCGCAGACCCTTCCCTTCTCCAGAACTCCCGAGGCCTGGGAGAACCAGCAAGTTTAGGCTTCAGCCCCAAAGCTGAGAACTAAATTCAAAGCCTTTATCTGATTTCTTTACAAAAAGCCCATTTTGTTAAGAACTCAGACCTCTCCCTCTGCACCATTCATACTTCTCACTCTTCTACTGCCTACCCACCCAAGATCGTTAATAATAACAATAACAATAACAACAACAATAACAAAAACAATAATACTGTAATAATATTAATAACACTTCACATTTTTACGAAGCTTACAGAGTGTTTTCACATATAGCATCTCATCTGAGCCTCCCAACAGTTCTGTGAGGTAGATATTCTCACCTCCCTTTTTACAGACGGCGTAGCTGAGGCTCAGAGAGGGAATAGGATTTGCTCAAGGCCACACAGCTAGTTAGTGGTAAAGCTAGGACTTGATCCCAGCACCCCATATTCAAAGTCCAGTGTTCCAACACCACAGCTCCTATTGCCAAGTGGAGTGACATTTCTTACCCCTACCAGGCGTGAGGGGCAGCCTCAGGGGAGAGGAGGCTGAGACTTCTCAAACTAGGGCAGGGAAGGACTCAGCAGTGACGGGTGGAGTCGGGGTACTTGGCCTTCAACTCCTGTTTGAACTGGCGGTAGAGAATCTTATTGTGCTGATTTTCAGCTTCCTTTTGGGGGTGGAAATCCAAGGTGTCTTTGAAGCCCTTATGAATCAGGAAACCTTCGTTCAGCACCTCGAAATCAAATCCTGCCACGTGCAGCTCACAGGCCTGTAGGGGGAGAGAGAGGTCAGAAAAGCCTGATGATTATTCTAGGGCCAAGACTGACATCCTAAAACTGACTCCAGCATCCCCACTCCCCCGGGGCACCCTGGATCTCCCACAACCACCACTGAACTATCATTTCTCCTGCCTCAATGCCCACTTCCCATCCTGGGCCACTCATGGCTCCCAGACCCCAGCACCCCTCCTGCCCCATTTCCCCTGCCCTCTCCCTTATTGGCACCTGGCTGATGCGATTGAAGCCGTACTGCCGAAAGCGTTCGTCGAAGGCGGGAACCTTGCCTCCAGCCACGTAGAATGGCTCCCAGGGGTCCTGCCAAGGCACCACGTAGGCAGGTCTCAGCAAGGTCTCTTCAGGAAGGTTGACCCAGCGGGAGTAGTTGGTGGGCGCCTGGCAGGGCGTGCACAGCCCATAATAGAACGGCTGCACCTCGTCCACCTGGTAGAGCTTCAGCAGCTCGTTCTTATTTGTGGGTATGCGGCGGGCTCGACGGATCTCAAAGGCAGGCACCACGAGCGCTGTCCCTGCCCACTGCTTGCTCTGACCCAGCATTTCCCGCAGGCCTCTCCACAGCCCCTCGCTGGGCACCATGTCCACATCGATCACCAGGGCATAGTTGGCCCCCTCACGAGCCAGATTCCTCAGCAGGTTATTGGGGTAGGAGACGTTGGTACCTAGTGCGTAGTTGATCCCGGGCTGGGCCACTCTGGCTAGCTTGTCGAAGACCTGCTGGCAGGACCGCAGCAGGGCAAACTCCCCCGGCTCCCGGGGATCGGGCACAGCGGCCTCATAGCGCGAGGGGCACACCAGGTGCATGGCTACTCTGGCGCGAATATCGGGGCAGTGGCTGCTCAGCGCGTAGGTCAGCACCGTGGCCAGCTGCGCCTCCTCCTTGGTGGCGGCGAACACCGACACGGAGAGCGGGCCCTCCCAGCGCTCCAACAGGCCCGACAGATGCACCAGGTTGTCCACGCTGGCGTGCGTGGCCAGGATCACATCATCGGGGTCCATGGTGGTCTTCAGTAGGCCCCTGTAGACGCGGTAGTCGCCGCTGGTGTCCAGGACGCCTCCGGAGGCCAGCGCGGCGCGGAGCTGCGCCTTGACCTGGTCCACAGACCGCGGGGATGGGGGGAAGAACTCCAAATACTGCTCTTGCTCCTCCTGTCCGTGGAGCCCGGACAGCAGCGACAGGTAGAGTAGCTGCAGCATCGCCACCAGCATTAGCGCGGCCAGCAAAAGCTGGTAGAAGGCGCACCGGATGGCGTAGGACATCTGCATGGCTCTCGGGGCTTGTGGCGCAGCAGGGACCACCCGGCCACAGCCTCGCCAACCGCCGCAAGCCCGGATTTACCGCAG